CTTATATAAAAAAAACCCCTCCCCCCCCCAACTCGGCAGGGACCAGGCTCACCCCACCAGGAGGGGCGGGGCCCGGTTTAGCCCCGCCCCCTCGCGCGGGGCGGGGCCACCAGGCGCGGCCTAGCCGCGACTAGGCCCGGCGTCGGGGAGCCTAGGTCTTTGAGCGGGGAAGAGCCCCTTTTGTGCCTGTGAAACTTTTTTTTGGGGGGGTGGCATGTGAAGGACCTCTTCCTCCCCCTCTCACCTCCTCAGAGCAGCGCTGGCGGGCAGGGCGGGCATGTCTGCGGCTCCTTGGTGGGTCTTTTTATTTCCTTCCTTCTCGCGGGCGAAGCAGTGACTGTTGAGGATCCGCTGCAGGGAGGATTTCACCATCCGGGCCGCCCCCTGGTCACCGAACCCCCGAGTCGGGTCTTCGCCCCCTCCCCCGCAACGTTTTGCTACTCCGTGTCTCTCTCCCTCAGCTACACAAAATGGCGGAGGCTCGGCCGCCGACAGCCGCCTTTATAACCCCTGGGGGGCGGGGCGGCGACGCCCACCGACGCGTGTCGCCACGCCCACCCGCCGCAGAAACGGGCGGCACGCCCACCCGGGGGGGCTGATGGCCGTTAAGGCCACGCCCTACTCTGAACGCCTACGAGTGAGGCCACGCCCTGGATTTCTCCTCCTCCAGCCTCTTTTTTTAAAATCTTGCTTCTTTCGCATTTCTCTTGAGGTAAACAATCCCCCCCCCCCGCTCCCTGAAGGGACTTCCTGATTGGCCACGGGGAGTCGGCTGGTGCAACGGGAAGAGAAGGCGACTGGCTTGGCCGGGTTGGTTGAGGCGCGCGTGCGCGTAGTTTGGTTGGTCGCCGCGCATTAAGAGAGGAGAAAGACGGGGGAGGAAAGAACGAAGGAGGGCGGTGTCCTGAGTGGAATGAGCTCATTCGATTGGCTGAAGGACACCGGCTTGGGGGATTTGATTGGCTGGATCGGTTGACTTTGGGGATGGAACCGGGAGGGTGAAATCTCATTGAGTTGCTGGGGCGCCTGCGCCTGCGCCGAGGCCTTGGAGGCGTGAAGCAAGAAGGTGGGGTTACTGAAGGAGAAAGTGTCGCACCTCTGAAGTACGCACACAGACTTGAGTCATAGGAAATAAGTCGATAAAAACAAAATGTAGCTAGGCCTCCCCCCCAGCTGTATTGATACCTCGCCCTCTGAAATGTGCCCCCTTCCAATTTCCACACAGCTAACAAACAGACCAAAATAAAACAATATCATCTAACTAGGGTTCTCAACCTCCAGGAGGGTAGCTGGAGATCTCCTGGTATTACCACCGCTCTCCAGGCCAGAGAAATCAGTTCTGGGACAAAAAAAAGGGGGGGGGGGAACTGAACCTAAAACCTAGAATCCAGAACCTAAAAAATGTCAAAGGTAAAGGTTCCCTTGCTTGAAAGCCAGTCGAATCCGACTCCAGGGTTGCAGTGCTCATCTCCGTTTCAAAGCCGAAGAGCCAGCGCTGTCCGAAGACGTTTCCGTGGTCATGTGGCCGGCATGACTAAACACACCAAGGCGCACAGAACGCTGTTACCTTCCCACTGAAGCGGTGCCTATTTATCTACTTGCAATGTCTTGCTTTCAAACTGCTAGGTTGGCAGGAGCTGGAACTAGAGACAGGTGCTCACTCCGTCATGTGGCAACCCGGGTCTCGAACTGCTGAAACTACCGACCTTCCACAGCCTGCAGTTCAGTGTCTTAACCACTTGAGCCACCGCAGCTCAAAAAGGTTAGTCAAATGCAAAAGAGAGCCAACAATAAAAGCTTAATATATAAAATATATAAAAAGATACATGTATTTATTAAACAAAGATT